ATAGGCACGGTTCTGCAACCGGTATCCTACGCCACCTTCTACACTTGGTATTACAGGGACTGGGTCACCAAGGGGTACCAACGCCTGGGTCGTCCACATCCCAGCATAGCGAGGCCAGTTTTCGCTTCGGGTGCACCGGACCTCATGTATGCTGGATTGACCTCCTCCTCGGCATCATCTAATTCACATGATAGCTGATGCCCGTCCTCGCCTTCCTGGAGAGTCTGACTTTGATGTTGGCGCCGCACAGTGCTACAAAAGTGGTCTTTTGCATTATGATAGTTGATTTGCTTTCACTCGTTGTTGTCTGCAGCCGTACACCTATCAACTTGTCTTTCCGTGGTTGCGTTGTCATGGCGTGGCTGGAATGGTGCCCGGACCCTCAACAACCAGATGCCCAGTGGGTCAAGATCTTTCATCCGGGATCATGGACGCCACAAGAAGAACATGATGCTCCACCTCCTCCGCATACTTTTAGAGAATGGAGGGAGTTCTATGCTCCCAACCAGGACTTAGTCGAAGGGCAAGTCCAAGTCACTACGTGGTACAAACGAGACTGGGCCACAGAGGGCTATCGGAGAATCGCTGCCCCTCACGCTGGTCATGAATTTGATTCCATGTATCCCTCCGATCATCACAGCGTGGCCACGCAGTCTGCGGCATTGAGTATGTCGCCGGAGCTGTTAGACGCGATTCTCAGGTCCTCGGATGCGGCTGATTTCTCCACTGAAGAACTGACTCGTCTCCAGGAGGGGATTTCTCAACAACTGACGGCCCGCGCACGTCTGGCCTCCCATCCTCATCAACCAGTACGTGCATCGCGTGGAAACACACCATCGGAGACGATTGGGGTCTCCGACCCCTACAGGCCCGTGAATCCTTCCGACAGCGGCCAAGACAAGATGAGTCCCGTCTTCGAGCTGACTGAAGACTAGACTTGCATGAGCAGCGCAGCGTACAAAATAAGGGTGGCCTCTACACTTGCATGATCTTGCTTGGCTGTTGTTTGAACATGGTTGTGCATGGTGCTTGTTCATCTACTAGCTGGATCGGAGCCCGCGACAATCCTTGCCTCTTGCCTCGACATGGACATCGATGATTCGAAGCAGCACCCATGGCTCGAATATTCGGTCTGGCATGATCAGGAGTGGGTGCGGATATACACTCCAGGACAACCTCAACGATGGCACCGCGGTGACGCCGTACCTGATCTACCTGAAAATTCTTTTCGTGAATGGCAGCGGGTGACGGATCCCGATGCGCCAGTCCAGGCATGGGACATCCGTGACTGGCAACACCAAGGGTACCAGCGCATTTTGTCTCGGATTGAGTCCTTCGCAACTCACTATCCACATGATCAGACTCTTGGTCAAGTTCGAAACTCCGATGCCGTTCCAGTTGAGGAGACCTTCACCTATGCCACTCCGTTTTCTCATGGTGATCGCCCGGCTGCTTCGCAAATCGCTTCAGTCCTCTATGGCGACACTCGCAATGCTCAACGTGGTGATCTTTCGTTCCCGTCTTCTGAGCGGTTTAGGGCGGTGTCTCGCTCCCCTCGCCGTGGAGGATATTTTGGTCAACGATAGAGATTTGAGTTTGAGCATGTGATCTTCCTGCAGGAGAAAAGAGAAACCTCGCCCCTCGTAGAGGGGCGTGTGTGTGCGGAGTGGCAGAAAACCCTGCCACCAAAACCGTTTTCTGTTGCAGCAGGGGGACCATCCGTTTGCTGTGTGCGATGGTCCAACGAAGCGGCCACAGCAAATGCGGATATCGAGGCTGATCACCTCGACGTACCTGCGACATTTGGAGTTGGTGATGTAAAGTCCTTTTGGCCTGTTGTTTCTCTCGCTGTGTGTGTGCTTCATGTTGATTCTGTAACGTTTTCGCCTCTAGAGGGAAACCGAGTGCCTTGCGAGCCGAAACTCATCCTACTCGAGACTTGTCGGTTGTACTCGAGACTCATCAGTTGTACTCGAATGATTAGCATTGTGTGTGTGTGTGTGCGTGCGTGCGTGCGTGCGTGCGTGCGTGCGTTTTTGTGTGTGTGCCTGTGGGTTGAAAGAACTCAGGCATTGCGAGTTTCTGGCAATTGTGAGGCAGTGCGGATGCCACCCACGTCGACCACCGTCACCCACACGGCCACCAGTACCACGTCGATGACGTCAACATCTGCCACCCAAACCTCGACTTCCACAACTCTCACATCAACAACATCAACAACCATCACGACCACAACCCTGGTCATAGAGCAGCGCATGGTGATCAATGATGTGGAGTTCATTGCAACAGAAATCGAGGCTTGGGCAGTGGGTACCAAGCTGCTTGGCTTGATGTACCTTTCAAGTAGTCAAGGCTGCATTGTTGTCACTGAGCATCATGCATGCAGCGGGCTTTGTTCTTCAGGTATTGCATGCCGGAGACGAGCACAATGACATCAACGACCATGACCACGACTGGCCAGTATGTTGGCGCCACCGAGTCGCTCAGCAAGACCTTTGTGGCAGTAATGTGCCACTTGCTTTTGCGGGCACTCAGTCTCGAAGCTTTTTCGATTGAATTCAAGGCATGCACATTGGCACTGAGGATCGGAGGCACCATTGTGTTCCAACTCTGTCGGGACATATTTGCCGAGGATGCGGATGGGGCCAACCGGGGACCTAGGTTAGACGTGCACAAACTAGAAGGCCTGATAATGCTCTTACACCAGTTCATTGGTTTTGCTCAGCTGGGGGCAGTTGCCTCAGAAGCAGGCAGCAGTGATCAAACAGCCTGTCTACATGTCTACATTCAGGATCAGCATGTCACCTTGGTCTGGACTGTTAGCGTTCTGGTTCAGGAGCCACCGAGAACTTTAGACTGCCACTGGAGGGATATGTCCACGACGAACTGGGTGCTTTTTGGTGGTGTCAGCACCTGTTCTGGTGCAATCTGCAAGTGTCCTGCCACTTGGTTGCAGACTTGGCCTCAGTGCAAGGCCCAAAGGCCCAAAGGCCCAAACGGCGTAAAAGGCCCAAGCTGAGGCCTGGAAAGCAGGCAACGATGAACACCAGATCCGTCTGACCATGGACGGCAAAGAACACTACACGACAGAGGCCATGGCTGTGGCAAGTGGGTGTCTGGGCGAAGAAGTGGCGGATGCCATTTGCCTTGTTTTGCTCTTCATGCTGCGCATTTGCTGGGCAGTGACACATCCAAGGCCAAAGATTTGCATCACCGCCGCTTGCTACAAGTCTTTGCATTGGAAGCTTCATTGTACCCGACTTGTGGATACACCACTTAGGAAACCACGACCACGACCACCACAACAACAACCACAACTACAGTTGTAGACAGCATGGGGGTCGAGGAGATGAACGGTGCTGCACCTTGGCAACGGCATGAATGACATGCCTAAAGTTTAGTGGCAAGCCAACAAAGCCGGACCCATCAACAGCCACCAGACAGGTCTACTTCTCAGTGTGCAGCGACGTGTCTGGGCCTGTAATTTGCAGCTGGCGGCGCAGAGGAGCCCTCTTGGCGCAACTGAGGGGCCCTACTGGTGAAGGGCGATTCCCTGGTTTATTTGGCACAATGTGTGTCACAACGTGGTTCATTTTCAGGGGCTTCTGAATAGTCTGGCCCCCCAGATTGCAAAGTTATCAATATTGTAAGAGGCACGGGCGAAAGAGTTGCTTGCAGCAGGAGAGGGCTTCTGGTTCCCTTTCGAAGGCTACGGATCCTGCAGCTCGGCGTTGCCCAAAGCTGATTTAAGAGCCTCTCCAAACTTGCTTTGGGCAGTGGCGGCTGTTGCATTCCTAAGGCTACGAGCGCAAGTGCAGCTGCCCTCCGATCACCACTGACCGGATGTTTTCAAACTTGGCTTGGATTCGGTGTCATTCACATTGTGGCATGTATTCCGTGGGTGCAACTGAGCATAAGCAATAGATGTGGCAGGACATGTTTTACAGCATGAGAGTCCCAAGCACAAGCGTGATTTGGCTGCAGTTTGATGGGCTGACAACATGATTGGATTGAGCTTTGCATTGTGTTGTGAAATATGTTTGGGGTTTACGCCTCCACCTGCTTAGAGAACGCTCAGGAGCCGACCACGGTAGCCACCTGAGTTGGCAACTGGGGCTGGGCTGAGACTTCCATGTTTGTCCACCGCTCAAACTTAGGCACCGCCCGCAACTGCAACCTCAACAACTTTCACTACTACAAGTGTGCTGACCACCACTCGGACATTGCAGCCTGGCAAGCAGGGCGCACGCTTGCTTCTGATTTTGGGCGCGCTTGAGAAGTGAGAAAGGGAAGGCTGAGACAAGGAACTGCGAGATGCAACATGAAGAGTGGCACATTGAGGTCCACTTCCATCGCCAAGACCTCCAGCGGGCAGAAGGCTTACCTGCACGGAGTGCTGATCATGCTGCTGGGCAGCAAGCCGACGTGTCAATGTTCAAGTCTTGTTCCTGGCAACCTACACTTGGCCTTTGCATGCCCCTCCTCTCAGATTCCTCCTCTGGCTGTGGCAGCCCTGACCCTGACAATGAGCAGAGAGGGCACAGACCACAGTTTGCTGTTTGGGCCGCGGAGCCTTCCAATTGAGACGCTTGCAGCTTGCGCCTTCAATGAGCAACGTTTTCCTGCTTTCTATTCATATGTCACAAGGGAGGCCCGCAGGCTCGCACATCTTGAATGGCAGATGTGACGATCTCGGTGTAACATTTCTGCATGACTTCACCTAAAAGCTGCCAGGAGCGGCAAAGACTGAACCCATTGGCCTCAAATCCCATTGGCATGCGCACATTTGTTGCATGATTCCAGCCCCTGCAGCCTGCATTGCCTGCATTCGTGCAAGAATGCAACGATAATGTCCCGCGGCACAGCTTGCTCCAGGCACTGCTTGCCGCATTTGCCGCGTTTCACTGAAAGGAGACAGGACAGAGGAGTGAAAAGTCTGCGTTTTGAGCCGGCGCCGTGCTACCCCCCAAACCGTCAAGATACAAGTCTTCCAAGCCGAGGCAACATCGAGTTGGCAGGTGTGAACATTTCAAGGCCTGCTTGCCATTAGCTCGTGACAGAGTCCAGGCTCGCCAGCTTTTCTCTTGCAGCCCGTTCCAGGGACTTGTTGGGCAGACGGCTTCAAAGCTGCGAGATGGATGCGCAAATCACTGAGTGGTACGGCCCTTTGAGACTTCTGGGCGCCAGCACCCTCAACCTGCGTTTCAGGTACAACTTGAATCCGCTTTTTGCGGCACCTGCGGGGTTCGGTCGGCAACCCACAGCACGATTGTCATTGAGTTCACTTCTTGACCGTGAAAAGACAAGCTTTTTAGGAGTCACAGACCTTGTTCTACCAAACACGACCATCAAGGCTCGGATATATGGGTGCAGCAACTTGATGTCAGAGCGGCTCTCAACTTTTGCAGGGCTTGTTCCTACGCCTCTGCGGTCAGCCAGTTCTGTCAGAAGGCTGGGTATGGCTGGCGGCAACAGGTGTGTATTGCCCGCCTTTTCTCCTTGGCCATATCTCAATCTCAGCCATATGCTGTGTCAGATTTGGACTCCCCTCTCGAGATCGACATCGATATTGTTCATCCGGAGGGTGTGCAAATGGGCTGCGTGCTAAGTCATGCCGAGCCACTGTCTCGAGTGGCCCGTGACCCGTGACAATCAAGTCAAGGCTATGTTGTGGAGCATTTGTGTGCAGTGTATGACACCGGTCCAGCACTCAGCTCCCAAGCCACCGTCCTCCTGATCACCTACCGATCCCGATGCCTTGCATTTCATGTGTTGGAGTCGTTCGGCCCTCATTGATAAGTAAACATATATATATATATAGGTGTGTGTGTGTGTGTATGGTCTACTATATATACAGTATGCACACATTAGATTATATGTATATATATATTATACATATCTATATGTGTGTACACATGTTTGTGAGCTTCCACTCCGTGTCAAACTTTTGCGAGAGGTAAGAGCATAAAGCGAATGCATGGTTCCAGGCCTCGGGGCCTGGCCTGGCACTCAGCGAAGCTCGACCCACTGGACCCATGCGCTGAAGGGAAAGGGCAAGGATTGGGAAAGAGTTGATTCAGTGATTCAGTTGCTGGAGTTGCGCCTCTTGTGTTTTGCCACACGACGTGCATAGGGCAGGGCTTGACCAGCGCATGAGAGCTCGAAGCAGGAATGGGGCCTTCGAAGCCTCTCAGGTCCACAGACGGAGTGGCTCTGAAGGATGCAGTCGACAACGAGTCTTCGCAATTGTGGGGTACTTGGCTTCAGCTCGGGTGAAATTATGCATGTTCAGTTTTAAAGCAGCAAATATCAACTATGTCCATGAAATTTTTGAGGACCTGCTTGTCCAATCAGAGCTACGGATACTTCGCTGCCCTGTACCGGGTTGTCCGCGAGGCTCTCGAGGGTCATGGGGGCAGGGCATCATCTCGCCTGCGAGGCGCCGCCGGATCCAACAACGTCGCCTCCGCCCGTGGAGGATGACGACACTGGGGTCAGCGTGGAGGTGATCCTCGGCATCGCCCGAGTCTCGAAATTGCGCGCTGGCTCGGTGATCCAAAGTCGCACAGGTCATCGTTGTGGCCCTGGGCGCAATAACCGCGGGTTTCAAAGCCGGGTGCCCGGGCAGCATGTGACCGTGTCAAGAGTGCCTTGGGCACATGAGGCCCGGAAGTGGTATCGGTGCCCAGCTCAACTTGAGTTGCTCGAAGGAAAGTTGATGCTGTTGGGCTAGAGCTTTGCTTGAGACAGGTCGAGGCAGAAGGTCGAACCGGAGAAGGTGGAGGAACCAGAAGAGGAGGCCAGAAGTCATTTGTGTGTGTGTGTGTGTACACATGATGGACTTATCTCACCCAGCTGAAGGAAGAGGAGGAAACAGAGACAGACTCCGAGGCCTCATGCACACAAGGCTTCACAGGCAGGTACGTGCAGCTTATCAGGTGAGTGAGCCCCCAGATCCGGACTGACCTTGGTTTTGTTTTTTGTCTTTTCGCACACCTGAGAAAATTCAGCAACTTGGCCATGCGAACACTCTGGTGCAGGATCCTGCTCTCACAAAGCTGCGCATGGCAGCAGAGGCAGGAAGATTGACTGCCGGCATCTTAGAGCATACTCCCTGACACACCAATATGACATGGTTTGGTCAGAAACTCAAGTTTCTTGGAAGCAAGGCTAAAGAAATCCTTGCACATCATGCGGGCCCCACGGGTATTCGTCAGGAGAGCCCAGTTCCTTCCAAAGGGGCATGAATCTACCATGCAGTTGTTTACAACCCCAGCTGTTGTGGCCTGAACAGGGGAGTTGCTGCTTTCAGGGATGTGATGGAGTGATGGGTTTAGTTAAAAGTCTTATCGCTAGTCATGGTCACATTTCCGTGGGCACTGACTGCCCTCTTTCCAGGAGCTGATTTGGGCGGTAGACAAAGGCTATGAGGCCAAACTTCGCGAAGCTCGCAAGAAGGCCTGCCTGCAGACACGATTTGCCCAGAAACTGCCTTGATTTCAATACCCAAGGGAATCCCACGTACTCTTCCAGCGGCTCTTACACTTTCACAATCATTCGCTGTTGTTTTTTGTTTGGTTGCGCAGGCTTACAAGATGCTTGTGCGTGTGTGTGCACGCTGCCATTTGCATGGCATCTCTTCAGTCATCGTGCTCAAGCTGTCAAGCTGCACTTGCAACATGGCTCACGTTAGCCCCTCCCAACACATAGCAAACCGTAGCAAATGCACAGAAAGTCTAGCCAGTGACAAGCCACCTGGACATCCAGCATCCGTTGCGCCGGGCTCTCAGAGTCAGCGCGTCGGCGCAAAAACAAAATGGGAGAGGCGTTCCGAGGCCATGTCCTCGGAGGCCGAGTGGAAGGAATGCTTTGATCTCTTTGACAAGGAGCGCGGATCGCATCTAACACGTCCAAATCACATCGGCTTCAGGAGTCCTCCGGGAAAATCAAAGCCCGGCCCCTGGAAAGGAGAACGAGAAGGAGATGAGTTGGTCGCCGAGGCAGATGATCTGGGAGAGGCACTGCGGTCCCTGGGCCTTGTGCTCACCCAAAAAGAGGTCAGCAGCATGAAGGCGCGGTCTCGTTTGGCACCTTCCGCCTTTCGTCGTTTGGGTCGAGGATGAAGTTGGTGCCTCCGTGTCCTGGGACAAGTTCAAGACACTGGCGTCCAAGAAGCCAGACCCAGAGAAGCAGGCAAGCCGAGACCCGCTAGCATTGGGGAACACAGCATGACGCGAAATTGGGCAGGCGCAAGCACTGATGCAGGTGCAGAGGGGGATGAGCTCTCCGAATGCAAAATCATAAGGGTTTGTTCATGCCCTATGCCAGGCCTTCCAAGTCTTTGACCAGACAGGCTCAGGCCAAATGGAAATGAAAGATTTGGGACACATTGCTGGAAGCTCAGCACCTTGGGTATTGGAGTATCTTTGGTGGCATTGCAATGACCTAAGGTGACATGCCTTGGGGAGAAGCTCTCGCCACAAGAATTCGAGGCTGGATACATCTAAGCTTTGCACTTGCGGGTTGGTCACGCTGGGAGTTGCTTGTGTGTGCATGGCTGCTGCAACCACTGCTGCAGGAGATATGTGGAGCCGCAGGCTTGCCATCAACTGGCAGCCTGGATTACAGGAAGGCCTGACACGGTATGAGAGATACGACATTTGCTTTGGGTTCAAATCCAACAAGCAGGTGGTGGACAAGGTGATCAAAGCGTGAGCGTCGAGTCAACTGCGCTGTGCTGGCAAGCAAAAAATGATTGCAACGGCCAAGCTATTGCGACAGGCAGTTTGATTCGTTCAGGCACACTGCAGCTTCTGCTCAGAGATGCCAGGTCAACTGTTGGGCTGCGCACGCCCGTTGCCATGAGCACGGAAGCTTGCTGCATTTGCCTCGAGCATTTTCCACAGGGGCAAGGCATCCAATGCTCGGAAGAAGACGCTTGACTGCTCTTGACAGTTCCGGTTGTCACGGGTGCCAGATACGCATACATGTGGATAGGTCAATGTTGATGATATTATGTATCTGCGTAAGTCTGTGCGTGCCTGCTCGCCTGCTTGCGCGTGCCCTGTGTGCACCTGCAAGCCTACAGTGTCGTCCATGCTTGCGCAAGTGAATGTGGGGTGTATGTGTGTGTGTGTGTTTGGTGGTGTTGGTTTAAGTTTAGTCTACGCTTGACTTGGTTTGGCTTCTTTGTTTGTTGGTTTTATGCGTGGGGTGGGGTGGGGTGGGGTGGGTCGGAGTGAGGTGAGGTGAGGTGGGGTGGGTGAGTGGGTGGCTTTCTGTGTTTTGTGTTTGCGCGTTTGTGTGTATGTGTGTGTTGTTGTGTTCGTGTGTTTGTGTCTGTGCCTGCCTGTGCGTTTGTCTGTGTGTGTGTGTGTTTGTTTGCCTGCCTGTCTGCCTGCCTGCTTGTCCGTCCGTCTGTTTGTTTGTGCGTGTGCATGTGTGTCCTTGTGTGTGTCTGTGTGTGTGTGTGTGTCTGTTTTGTGTGTTTGTGCGTGCGTCTCTGTATGTGCCTATGTGCGTCTGTGTGTCTGTGCTGTTTTCTGGTTGTGCGGTTGTGTGTGCTGTGCTGTGTTTGCGTGTTGGTTTTGTGTTTTGTGTGGCCGTGTGTGCTCGTATGTTTTTCTGTGAGCGTGTGGTTGTTTACGTGGTGTGTTGTCTCTTATGTCTTTGCGTTTTTCGGCTGCGGGTAAGGAGCCACACTTCCTTTGCAAGGGCTGCCTCCAGCGATACGTCCAAAGCCATGCCGAGACCGAACTGCGCTTGCAGAAACTTGGCCGTAGATACTTACATCTCACACGCAAGAATCTCGTTGCAACCTGTTGACCCACACTGTCTTCAAAAAGGCTCAACTTCCAGTTTTTACTCTGGGATGCCAGTTGCATTGGCCAATGCCAGGAGAAGAACTGCTGGGCGCATTGTTTGCCCAAGTCCCTCATGCTCCCGGGTCTTCTCGCATCACTCTCTGGCGCTGCACCTGTCGAATGCCGGCTTTGAAAAGCAACGTGGCTGAGGAAGGGCAAGACTGGGAGTGGGTAAAGACGCCAAGAGAGGGCCAGTGCCATTGGCCACAACTTGTCACAGACTGCTCAAACATGGGGCAATCGGGGCGCTGGCCAAAGGGCTGGCCTTGGACTTGTCAAAGCGTGCTCGGGGCCACATGTTTGAAGTGTGCCCTGAGGTACTTGAATGCATTTTGGCTGCATTAGCTTCCATCCAGCAGTCCAAGAGGCAAGCAGAAAGAGCACATGTTAGTCCGCAGCCTCCTCGGAGTGTGCGGTTCAAGCGAGGAGTTCAAGTAGTTTCGCGACTTGCTGCAGGCCATGTTCAAGGTCGTTGAGACAGAGGCTTTGGCCACAGCCCACGCGCCTGACCCAAGTGCAGATTGGCTGGAGCTAATGCGCCGGAGGGTAGTTGAGGACAAAGCACGTGAGCCACGAAGCCCTGCCAGCGTAACCGTGGCAGTTGCCCAGAACAAGTAGGACGCCATGCCACGCAACACTGTGCAGGACATCCTCACCTTGAAGTGCCAAGCCTGTGGGCAAGCCTTCATCGACTTCGAGGGTTGCTTTGCGCTGACATGCAGCAGGTGTAAATCTGGAATGTGTGGCTGGTGCGGCAAAAGTTTCAGGAACCTTGACCTAGCGCACGACCATGTGAGGCGACGGCAAATTTGAGTAGATTGTGTTGCTCATAGCCTTCATCCGCTTTGCTTGGCCTTGGTGCTCCAAGGTTTTGGCGCGCTTCGTTTTACAGAGCACGTCACATGTTGGGCGGCCCCTGAGGCAATGCCTCTTTGCGCCTCGAAAGCACGACCTGTACGGCTCACAGGAGGAGTTCGCAAGGGCCACGCGCGAGAGGCGAATGAGGCGTCTTGAGAGTTTCCTCACATCTTTGGAGCGAAGCTCTCGAAGCTTGGCTGAATGTCCTTGGCATCCCCTCACACAGCCTCATATCAATGGATGTTTCCACGCACATGGCGGCCGCTGGGGCGGCAATACTTTTCCACCTGCAGACGAAGACGAATTCCGAAGACACATTCGCTCAAGGCACATGGAAAAAACTGCGAAGACGAACTCCCCAAATTCAAATTCGCCCCCACTCCGAAGAGAAAATGCACCGATGAATTCCAAAGACGAATTCCCACCAAAGACTTTGTGTGACGACTCCCCGAAGCCCAACTCCTCCCGAAGACGAATTGCAAAGTCGAAATCTGAAACTGCCACCGGCCCCTTCCCCCAAACCCTTTGCATTTGAGCGGGGTGGGGGGGGGGGGGGTATCCTCTGTTAGCGACACGGCACGCCGAAAATGTTGGCGGGCTCAGGCCAACGAAAGCCTTAGCAGCCACTGCTCCCTTCAGACGGACGGAGTATCCCTGAAGGTGCGAAGGCGAATTCCCTCCCGAGTTTCCTTCCTGAAGGCCATTCACCTAGCATGCCTGCAGCGGGCGCTTTGTGGCAATCTCGCTATGAGAAAGGCCCCCGAAAAATCAAAACGTGTTTTGTCGAAACTCCCGAGGCCAACACTTAACTAGAAGGGCCAAACTCGAAACAAATTTCGAGACTCAGTCAACAAACGCTTGTTGCGTGGAAGCCTACAGGAGCAGTGAGACGGGTGCGCTTATTAGGAAAGCCCACGAAGCGCAAGCGTGTGCTTATTGGGCAAGGTTTCGGACGGGCAGGCGTATTAGGCAAGCCTGCGGGAGCAATGTGATGGGTGTGCCTCCTAGGCAAGTCTACAGAAGCTGCGTGACGAGTTTGCAATCAAGCCTACAGGGGCAGCGTGCCAATATTTTAGGCAAGCTTCGCTGATGCGCCTTTTGCTTGGGGCTTGCAAATTGCTGGGCTCAGGGTTTTGGAAAGGAACTGCGATCCACATGCCGTAGCCAGTTGGCGCCCGGATGTCTCTTCCTTCAAGCACACCAGTCAGACAGCTCAGGCGCTCTCACCGAATACTCATTGCTCCCGTAGGCTTACCCGTCGCACTGCTCCCATAAGCTCACCTAATAAGCACACTCGTCGCACCACGCCCCTAGCCTGACCGAATAAGAGCACAGGCTACACAGTAATTAAGTGCACTCGTCACACGCTTATCGCAAGTTTACCCGTCAGATTGCTCCCACACCTCACAAGGAACGTGTCGCACTCTTCCTGTAGGTTTACCTGACAAGCACACCCATGACACTGCTCCCATAGGCCCTTCTATGAGCAAGGCCGTCACATCGCTCCCGAGCTTACCTAACACTGCGCGTAGGCCCACCCCCAATCCGTGACACTGCTCCCGTATCCTTACCCGGACACACTGCTCTCGTATGCTGAACTGTCTAATAAGCAAACCCGTCACGTAGGTTCATCCAATAACCCCATCCGTCACGCTGCCCCTCCGGTGCATCGTCAGTTGCAAATGTGAAAGCGACGTCGAGGGAAATGTGTCGTCAGAGCATGTGGCGTCAGAATGTGGCATAGGAGCGCGGCGTCAGGCAGGAATGCGGCGTCGGGGGGGATGTGGCGTCACAGGTTGCCGGAATGTGGAATCAGAATGCGACTTCAGCTGGAAAAGTACTGGCCCTTTTGCGGCCGCCCTGCATCCAATACTTCATTTGATTCAAGCAGTCAACCAGGCTCTCGAATTTGGCTCTTGAGTTTGCAAATGTTTATGCACCCTGAGCACGGATGGCCTGAAGGCCCCTGCTCGGAGCCCAGGCCAGCGCTTGCTTCACGCCTTGTTAAAGGAGCTGGCGGATTTGGGCGACACTGCGGCAGCCAAAGATCTCTCGCGTCCCCAATCTCGCAGGCCAATCCTGTGGCCGTGGCTTGTGGTTGCACTGCTTATTTGTGTGCTGGCGAGGGCCCGCAGGCCTGGACTCGAGAGATGCGCCACACCTAAATGAATATCCTCTGCTCCTCTGCCCTGTGGCATGTTGCAAGATGGACATGGGAAGAACGTTGGTGGATAAGGAAATGAATGACATGTTTTTTCGGTCACACGGCAGTCCCTTTACTGTGCCGCGTTGCAGCCCTGAGTCGATCAAAGCCGACCCCAGCCACGCCGTGGGCAGGCAGAACAACCCCACCTTGATAGAGATTCTGGCCGAAGCCGACCAAGCCTCGCAATCCTTTCTGGCGACTGCAAAGTCTTGCTGTCTCGAGTATCTTGCCAAGATTGCGTCGGAACCTCAGGCGCAGGCCCTTCGTCCTGCGATTCTTGCCATGAAACATGAACCAGCCCTATGCAAGTTTGAACTGTTTGCCTCTAGGTCTGACGTTGGGGATATCGCCCTAGATATGAGGGATGCTTGGGTGCAGAATTCTGCGCCTCGGTCGTCAGCTTCTTGGGAGCGAGCCACTTGCCCGCAATGTCCATTGGGCAACTCACACCGAGGGATTACTTTTTTCTCATGTGGCCCAGGTGATGGATAATATCCTCCTCACCCCACAGCTGATGGTGAACGCCCTGGCACTTCTGACGTTATTGCTGGTAGCTTTTGCGCTGGGGGTGCCTGTGGCAGTGCTGGCTGTTCTGCTCAAGTTGGATGTGGTGCAGCGATTCCTAGCGCAGCCTGGCAAAAACAGGGATACAAGGGGACCGCAGTATAGCCTAAACCAGGGTTCCATGTTGGGTGCTTTTTTTATCCACACCCATGTGGCTTCCTGGTCGAGGTGGTGTTACTTGCGTGGTGGGAGGCCGGGGACTGCATGCTGACGTTGGGCCGTTGGCTGTCCCAATATGCCAGGTGGCTGCGCTTTTTCCGCCTGCTGCCTGACGATGATAACTTCAAAAGGCTCATTGAGCGGCGCAGGCAGCTGACTCGAAAAGCTGAAGCTTGGCAAAACACTGCTTTTGCCCTTTTTGCCCAGATCGCATTGGCAAGCCCTTTCCCAAAGGCAGTCCTGGGTCATTTGAAGAGCATGCAGGCAGGGATTGCAAGTGTGTCGCTGGCAATTGCTGCAAGCTTGCAGGTTACGGACGCAACGCCACTAGCATTTACGTCGTTTCGCTCCCAAGCAATCCAAATCGCAGGCAAGGATTGGGTAGGTAAAGTCATTGAAGTCATGAACGCCTCAGAGACTTGCCAGGTATAGAAGCCCATAGCGGTTGGCACATTGTGGGCCTTGCAGCCATGGCAGCAGGTCTTGCTGCCATCCTTATTGCCAGACACTGCAAGGCGCTCGGCCTGTCTGTCTTGAATGTTTGCGCATGGCCGGGCAGTTTTAAAGCATCAGATTTCTTGAGAGACGGTGTTGCTGCAGGTACGTGTTTTCAGCAAATGCCCAGCTTGATCTCAACAGCATTGTGCATTGCTGCTTCTGGCTGTCAGCCAGCACCTAGTGTTCAAATTATTTTTTTGGAGGAAAGTTCGGATTGGCAAGAGGCGTGGCTGCCCTGGTAACCTCAGCTGCCAACAGTTTGCCGGGTGGGATAATTGAGATATGTTGACATGTGGAAACCCTGAAGGCCGTCAAGGCTTTCCTGGTGAGGCAAAATGTACAGTGACGTCCAGTCCATCACATCCCAGCCCTTTCTCCGCGAGCCACCTGTGCTTTGCGCGGCAGAGCACCTGTGCGAATGGCTTGGCGTGGCATTCAAAAAATGTGCAACTGTTCACCAAAGGCGGGCAAGGCAGAAAAAAACAGGTGGGGGGGGGCAGGACAGTCCAAAATTCAAAAAACATCCGTGCGAGGCGTTCAAGAATATTCCAGCTGAAGTGTACCATGACTCATTTGGGAAGCAGGGGGCTCGATTGGTAAGCAATGAACCTTAAATTGTCACACCATATGTTGACTACATAGATGTATTTGTTTGATTGTGACAATTGTGCGGCACTCAGGCAGATTCCAGGTGATTTCACAGTGGTGCACGTCAAGGTGCGGAGAAATCTGAATTGCATTTGCACATGGTTGAAATGATTTTCTAGAATCAGATTTTCGCACAGGCGAAAGCCGAGTTTCAGCCCAGGAGCGTGGGTTCTGTGAAGTAAATGTCGAGCAGCCGTGTATGGAGGAAACCACTCAAAGCGCTAGAAACTCTGTGCGGCACTTGGTGGTCAATTCTACAACGTTGAGTGTGAAGTGAATTGCGCTTGAAGGCCCGATACCAGCCCGTCGACAATGTCTTTTTCACCGTCTGAATCTTTAGAGTGCGTCCCTCAAACAGCTGAGAACCAACATGCACGAGCGGCATGGCAGCCAGGAATTCGCCACGAAGCCAACCATGACAATGCTTCCGGTGCGGTGCTCTCAGCAGTTGTGTTCTTCTAAAGTCGGCAATGGTGGGTTGAAACGACGAAATCACATTGAACACTGAGCGTGGGTGAGGTTGGGTGGGTTTTTTTGTTTCTTTGCAAGTTCGTGCATGTGTGTGTGTGTGTGTGTGCGCGCACATGTGTTTGCAGGTCCGAGTATTTATTTGTTTGGTTGCTTGTTTGCTTGCTTGCGTGCTTGCTTGATTGTTTGCGTGTTTGGTTGTTTGTTTGTGGTGTTTGTTGATTGGTGGTTTTGTTTTTGTGTGTTTGCGTGGAATCGAATTTGAGGCAAAGCCGCGGTGAATCACAACAAATTCAACCTCGTTTGTTTCACATGTTCCACGGAAATGTGTGGAGTTTCACCCTCAAGGTCGATGCCAAGCGCGCAGCAAAGCACGACCAAAAAGCCGTGACAGCGCACACGATTTGCAAATGCATTTTTTTTGGGTTCAGCCATTGCACATATTGAACGTGTCGATGAGCGCACTCTGCTGCCTGGCTTGTAACTTCCGCCAAGACCAATGGCATGGGCAGAGGACGCTTTGGCATAGTTGTTTTGCTGTGGGACGTTTTGCTAAGTTTGAAATGGTCCAATTTTGGCAACGTCTCCCCGCAAGGAGGAGGATGATGCAACCCGTGGCCAAGAACTTCACTGCCGTTGTCAGCAACTTGGAGGGCCATTGTTGTTTGGCTCGTTGTGACCTCCAATGTTTTACTTGGGTTAGTTGCGGTTGAATTTGATACCCAGACAATCCCACCCCGAGTTGCACATGAATGACTTGAACATTTGAAAGAATTCATTGGCGAGCGTGAATTGAACTGTTGTAAAAAGGATTGCTTGTCCCAACGAGGCGGCGTGGTTTGCAGCAGGGCTGCCGGCAGCCAAGTTTGTGATGTGCTGGGCATTTGTTCCATTGTTCCTTCGGGAAACAGATGAGACAGCACAATTTCAGTACAATTTGAGCACGATTGGTTCAAAAATGATGTATGCTGAGATGTTGCAAGGAATCCCAGCCTTGGATTGTTCAATTGCTGCTCGCATGAACGTGCCATGTGACGACGTTGCCCACATGTGTGAGCAAGCTCAGAAGATCTGGGATGCTCAGATGCCCCGAAGCAAAGTCCATGTTTGACACGTGTTCCATTGCTGCTGCACGCATCAATTGCTTGGAACCTGACGCCCAGCCCCCATTGTGCCAACGTGCCGCAGGTCAAAGCTGTGATGCGGGAGGCCAGCCATGAAACAGTCTGAAACAACATGCAAGCGTACCATCCTCGTGTCCATTTTGCAAGAAGTGCCCCAGGCAGACAAGCTTGCGGCCCGCGCAGACAAGTACGAAATGGTCTGCTGCGAGATCAGTTGGCCGCGTTTGGGTTTGTTACGCATGTTCAGGCGCAGATTTCGGAGCAGTTGTTGGAAAATGCCACGGTGCGCCACTTTCTGCTCGCGTTTGAAGAGCAGGAGTCGTAGTGTATCCAGTACGCCACATGAGTTGGCTTGAAGCATTGTTTTGCGAGGACTGGCCGGAGTTGCTGCAAAGTGTTGCAACAATTGGTATCCAGGCATTGGAAGTCAACACGTGTCACTTTCCTGCTTGCCTCTTGAGGCGTTGTCTCTGCAATACGGGCGGTCACAGCTTGGTCTTGGCTCCCTCCGCATGCTCGCGCAGCCCCGAGATTTTGAAACATGACATGTTGTTGGTCAAGATACTGAGTTGCCGCAGACGGTATATGTTTGGGAAGCGCTAAACTGATGTTCGCCCTTATGTTGTTAGTTGTGTGCGTTTAGATCGATTTCAAAGATGTTCTCAAAAGTTGAGGCAAAGTGGATCGAGCGGCACAGGCGGGTCCCGAACTCAGTGTCCGCGATATCCTGTTTTGTGTCAGGACCTGGCCCAGTTTGGATGTGCTGACCCGAGCCTCGGCAGAAACCTTCCTTCGGCGTTGGCAAAATGTTTGTACACATTCGTCGGGATGTGAATGTAGATTGTGCCGAGGAAACAAAACAAAGCACCTGAGAACATCACCTCAACGTATGCACTGAGGAGCTGCCTCGCCAGATTCCCAGATGATGTTTTGAGAGACCGATCATGCATTGGTAGCTTGCCACATGTGAAATTCTTAAAATGTGTATGACTATACAACGAGCAGCGTCGTGTTGACTATACAACGATCGTCGTGTTGCTCCTTTTTTGGAGTTGAGCGGACTCCACGTTTTTAGGGAAGGTGGACCTTGTTTTGTTGGCCAGTACGATTTCAGCTTTGCAGCATTTGGCCAAGGGAGCTGAGTTTGGGGCATGTCAAAGCGTTGACCAAGCAATATGTCCTTTCAAAGTGAGAACGTAGCTGAAACGGCAGACCAAACCATGGACAGTACCCCAGTGAAGCGTGCAAAAAGAAGATGATTGCACTCGCACCCGTCCACATCACATTTCAAAGCTCTGATTGACAGTAGCGCCGGCCTTCCAAGCACGCATGATTGCAAGTTTCATAAATGTTGTACACAATGTCGAGCAAAACCCCTGCCAAATGTCATGTTTGTTTGTTTCTGGCAGCCAGAAGCAACACCAGGGGCGAGCGCGCCGCGGGAAAATCATGGCAGTTTGTTGTTGTGGTTGGAGAGTCTGGATGTGGACACAAGTAGACAGTGTCCACACTTGTGTCATTGAGCCGCACACTTCATTGATGCAGTTTGACAACTGCTGCATTCACAGTTGAAAGCTCAATTAGTCAATGACTGAGGCCCTCGCAAAGCAGGCGTTGTGCCGGGATTGAGTTTGCAAGATGATCGACATGCAAGTTTGGATCAGCGCACAGGACGACGCGATCCCGAAGCCAACCCCATGGCAGGGTTTGCTACCCAGAGTACACAGAGAATTTGCAAATGCCGTTTCATAGCAAGCTAAGGCACCGTCTATGCTGCCAGAAGGCGCGCAATGAAAAAGAAGCTGATCCGATGATAGAGTTGCATACCCAAGTGTGTAGAGCACGACATGATGGCCCTTGCACAGACTGCGCGTGAGGCATCGAAGAGACCATGTCGGCAAGGCCAACGTCATCGGCCCGCCTGGCATTTGTGTGGTTGCCGCAACTTCTGACACTCAGCATCACAAGGTCACCCCCGGTAATCCGCCGGCAAGTTGCGCTGCCCTGAAACCAGCCCCAGCCCCAAGCCTGTCAAAAGACATGGTCCAGTCTGGTTGAATTCGTAGTGTTGGCTCAGCTCGTGTGTTGGTGCCGAGGCCTTGACTGGCATCCGAGCAAGGCAAGGAAGGGTTTTTCCACCAAAACTGAAGGGGGTTATTTGGCGAGTTATACTATTTTCCCTGACATTAGACCTTGCTGATTCCTGTCAAGCCGCAGAGATGATCGTCGCGAGTCCGGGACATCAAATTGCAAGAAAAAGACGCTGAGCACCGCTGAGCCGAAATTTTGAGAGGTCCCAGATTCGCGGTGGCAGCGCCCCGCCTCTGAGTAGCCGCTGGTCACCAAGGAGTCTTGCATGACGTGTAAGCATTGGCCAGTTACTTGACACCAGGAGCTCACCCCGGGCTTCTCCAGCAACCCAACCGCAGACAGTTGTAGCTTAGCGCCAATGTTTGGGCAACACGCAAACTGTTGGCAGCTGTGCTGTGACTCGGCTTACCAGTTGTTTCGACCTTTTGCAGGGAATTCCGCCGATTGTGCGGTGCTCCTGCTGCGACACGGCAATGCCCTGAGTACTCAGAGACATGCTGATATGGAATTTGCTCGCAGAGGGCTTGCCAGGCAACACAATATTTTTCCGAATTGGTTCCTTTCAGGAGTACTTGCCAGACTCCATGTTCTGCCGGATTTGTGGGCAGCGTCGAGATGCGCCCCCCTGAGTCAGGGAGTTGACGAGCACAACACATGCATTGTTCTTGTTAAGGTTGCTGCGCCTGCGCATGTGCAGTCGTCGCCGCAATCAATGCCGTCGGCAGCTTGTTGCGCGAGCGATTCTGCATCAGCCGTTGTCATGCTGAACTTGAGGTGGGAAGCAACCAGAGAGAGACAAAGTTTGCCCTCTCGGGAACCAGTTGCTTGCCAGACGCCCTTTGCGGCCGAAGGGCCCATACCGTTCCCGCGGCCGGAAAGCAGCCCACAGCTGACGTTACCACAGCCGACTTTGTCCCAGCCTCGCTTTGAGCCCAGCCATCCGAGCCCAAGACGCAGTCCGATCCCATCGGAGATGGAAGCCCCTCGCTGGTGGCGTGCCAGAGAGGCGCCAGGGAATAGTGTTTCAGTGAGTTTGCCGTGCTTTTTTGTCGTGTTCGTTTTGTGCTCAAAGAGCCAGGCCAAAAGCCAGGAAAGAGCCCCGCCAGTGCAGGAGTTTCTGCAACGTGTAGGGAATGTTGTGCCAACGGAAGGTTTGACATATGCAGGACGAATGGTACCAAACTTTGATGCAAAGTGCCCAGATTCGAACGTTCAAGTTGCTTCGTGCTTTGCAGATGACCATATGACAACTTAAGGTCCCGGCTCCAACGCTTGGGCGAGGCTTGCGTTTGCCATGCCGGTGAGACGTACAGAGTAAGCCCAATCTTTGACAGGGGGCTACCAGCATGCAACAAGGCCGGAGCTATCATGTGAATCCTGGAAGGAAATAGCATCTAGCAAAGCTACTGAGGTGAGCCTATTGCGGCACCTCCAAGTAGCTTGGGCGATGCTCGAATGGTGAGGCTCGTGATTGTCTTGAAATGTACCCGTTGACTTGCCATGTCTCGCAGCAGGTCCAGCAGCCGAGAAGCCTTAAATGCCAAACTCCGTGAGGTCCGTGATCGTTTTGAAAGCTGTCAACTGCAATTCTGGAATATGATAATGTTACACCTTCCTTGTTCGTGTTGCTGGTGATGCGTTGTGCTTGGGTATGAGCTGCATCCAAATTGAAGCCATGCAACCGTTCCATGCGTTGAATTGTGCGAGCTGCTTGCCAGTTGGGAATGGAGCGACCAGAACCGCCAACATTCCGTGCCGACGCGCATGTCCCAAGAGTTGCACTCAGATGTGAAGTTTCATGTGCAAATGTGATAATTCATGTGATGGTAATGTGGGTTGATCAGGGTTGTGTGTTTGATCGCTTATTTCCTTTTGGGCGTGCTCAGGCACATACAATCCCACCGGCAACACTCTGCTCAACGACTTGCCTCATCGGGCATTTCGCAGGGACAGCCCACAGTCACGAAGCAAAAGGGGCAGAGAGCTGTTTCCGAAGGATAGCTACGTTGCGACTTTCGGCGGGCCGCGGCGAGAGGCGCGGGCCTGTGACAGCTTGTGTGCGTCGTTTTATGTGTCCTTTGTTCAGCGCAAAAATATGTTTTGTCCGAAAGTTCCATGCGAGCAGTGCAACAGAATAGGTCAGCTTGCATTCCAAAGCAAGGCATAAACGCTCATGTGTTTTGATGAGGCAGCTCTGTTTTGTTTAGACTTGCGGACAGGAACTCATTTTCTGAGCTTTGCTGTGTCGCACAGATGCATCTAATTTGATTTTCAGGAGCTAGGCCAGAAGGAGACGTAGACTCATAATTCAGTAACTCCTGAACGGATAATGAACGTTTCGATGTCTTCAAAAAGGAGCGTGCCAGTCGCTTGGGGCTTGATTTAAAAGAAATATTCCAAATAGATCCAAATGGCCTAAAATCACAACCTATCAATATTACGATCAAATGAAAATTATACATAATCACGAAAGCTAGCTTTAGCTAGCTGAAGTTTCTCCTTGCGTAAGCAAGGTAAGGGGCTCAAATGCCGAAAGATTGATTTTTTCAATTATTTGAGCCGAAAAGATTGAAAAACATCAATTATTTAGACCCGCCCCCCCCCGGTCCCAGGCTCGATTCCTCCCTGGTCCATCCCCCCCCCCCCGGGCAGTGGCTCAGTGTTCAGCAGTCTCGGTTTGCCCGTTTTGGACTTGGTGCTACGAACTTTTACATGTTCCACCGATTCAGCTTGTTCATTTGAGACATCAGTCTTCTCGGTAAACCACCTCGCAAGAATCTTTGCACACGCAGCATGCAGAACCCAGAGGTGCTTTCAGACAGCTTCTGACGCCTCTCGTTGTTTTCATTTTTCAAGGTTTGCCACGCCACCATGTGCGTTTGCGTGTCGCATCCTACGAATCTTGCCGGGCCTCTCGTTGTACACAAGCTACCTATGACTCCACTCTGTCACCGACCCATCTCATGCAACAACTGCTAGCTTTCGTTCACCCGCTCCTCAAGTAATAAAATGTTACATTACTTAAATCGATTGAATTATATAGAAAATATATATAATTGGGTAATCTATTGAGAAATATTATGTTTATGATATATGTGTATATATCTATTTGTTGTTGTATTGTTTGCAAACCAAATTTATTTAATTTTATTTTTAGTAAAATATATAATTAAAATATAAAATAAATAATTAATATAATTTTGATTTATATATAATTTGAATTGTGTGTTTTTTTGAATATAAATTATATTTATTAGATAGTTTTTTTGTAAATAAAAAATAATATGATAAATTATATATATTATATATTTGTTGATTGTATTTGTGTTTGTTGTTTTTTGAATTATTTTTGAAATTTTTATGGATATTTTGGTAAATTGGGTTGGGTTATTTTTGGAAGATATAATTGATTTATATGTTTTATGATTTGAATATAATTTGGAAAATATAATGAATTT